TACCATGTGTGAGACATGAATCTGACATGACTACAGACACCCGAGGACGAGGAAGACGGAGAGGAAGATGAAGAAGATGATAGTATGCGTCGCTATTCGCCTTCTCTACCCTAAGCTGATTGGGCTTCAGTGGACGGCTTTGCGGACTACGACTCTGATGATGATTTCCGAGCGGAGCCAGGGAAACCTCTTGCCGACGTAGATCCCTACGCAGGTGCGCTCTTATTAAGCTTATACTGCCATTTTATTAATGAGATTTCAGGTATCTTCTTCTCCAAGGATCGGCGGGAAGAGGTCATCGAAGTTGAGGAGGAACCAGACTCTGACTATATTCCCCAATGGGATGAGAAACGAAAACTCATGACACAAGGCGAATGGATGAAGGGCTGTCCAGAGGGCTCGGAGCAGAGCTTCTTGTTCAGCCTTTACTCCCAATTGAGCGAAGGCCAATGTCCTTGTCCGCATGGATGCGGGGAAGGTGTGCAGAGGAAGAAGAGTGACTTCTTCGTAGTGCCGGTAAGAAACGGAGGGAGACTCAGTCGGCGTCAAGTCAGTTACTGACCGCCTCTGCCCAAACTACAGCCCAATTTTAATAAGTACGTAGAACGGCTCCGCAAGCTCGTCCTCCGCGATTGCAATAAATGCAAGAAGCAGTTCTGTCTGGCTTGTGGCGAGCCTATCAGTGCTACCGGTGCAAGGGAAAGCTCTACGACGTCTGACGATCCCCTATTCCATTGCTCCAACCTGCAAGGCGTAGTCCTTGGTGTCGGTCTCTTCCTCGTGGAGCAAATGTATTCCGATCAAATTCAGGAAGGAAAGACGGAGCAGAATGGGTCCGCAGGAAACAGTAAGAAGCGGAAATCCGACACTCAGCCTCCGCCTCCTCTCACTAATTCCTTTGACGACGATGACGATGTTTATTACGGTACATCATCAGTCAAGGCCAAGAAACTCAAAAGCGGCACCGGTTATGCGGGTAATGTAAAGGAAGATGTGAGTACATCCCATGAGTGGGCTACTGATCTGCGTACTTATGAACTTTAGACGTCTGGACAACTGGAAGCACTGGACTTGCAACGTGCTAGAGACGAGAAGCTTGGCCACCTGATGACTGCTGTGCGTTGGTACCTGCCTTCCCTGCGCCGATCTGGTGGCGGGCGCACTAGCGATTATCTTGTGCATCCCACTGCGTTGGCGCACCTTCGCAGGCGTTTTAATCATATCTGCAGCGCTCTCTTGAAGAATGACTCCCTCTCTGACATGTCTGACCGTTCGGTCCTATACCATGAATTATTTGACTGGTTAGAGGTAAACTACCATACTGATGTCCTTAGAGGTATCGCTTACGTTTGCATCCAGACAATTGCTCATCACGAAGCTCTGGCAAGTATGATGGCTATGCCGATCATGGTTGTTGCCTCCGTCAAGGGTGTCTCTACGCGGAAGGGGAGTAATAACCATCCCATCCGAGAGCGTACCATCGTCTACGAAGGTAGCTCAGGTCCAAGAGAGCTACTAGAGTCGCTCGTTATTCAGGCTCAAGCCGCCATGAAAAGTCTCGAAAAACACCGTAAGGCGCCTGAGTCCGAGGAGGAGGAGCTGACCGAGGAAGCCAAGCGAGTCACCAACGAATCCAAAGGCAAAGGCAAGGAGCCAGACATGCCCGAAGATAGTCGTAAACTGCATGGCTTCTGTAAACGTATCCTTGCAACTGCTGACGCCATCGACCGCTTTCTGTCCGAAACGAAAGGGGCCGCGTTCGTTGAGCGTCTGCATGCGTCTTTGCCGAAGATCTCAACATCTTCGAAAGAGGCCGTCCATGTTGCTTCGGGAGCTACGGAAGAGGCAACGAGGGATATCTACGTCGACTGGGCCACGCAGACCAGATTTGAGTACTGCGATCTTTCCGTACCTCCAGCCGACTCCGAGGAAGACGCGGAAGATCAGACACCGAGTTACATGTTCTACTTTAACAATGAGGCACGCATGCTTGCAAATTCGGATATCCCAAAACGCTCCTTGGCCATCGCGAAAGAGGTGAGGGCCTCCGGTCTTGGTGCGGATTTTAACTAAGACATGTTTTTTAGCTTGCAGTGCTCACAACGAACTTGCCTGTGGCTTGGGATTCGTCTATCTTTTCAAGAGTGGACGAGACAAGGGTAGACATTATAAAAGCACTGATCACCGGACCTGCCGGCACTCCGTACGTATGTCTGTCCTTGCCTAATTCTGCTATCTAATTTTAAAACATTAGATATCACAACGGCTGGTAGGTTGATACCCGGTCAGATGCCAAAGCTATAGTGCTGAGCCCCTGTTTTACACAGCTTCTTGTTCGACATCTTCCTGGGCCCAAGCTATAATCAATCGCCGCCCAGCGTCAAGTACATGACAGTATGATCAAATATCATGTACTGCGATTTACGAGCTTACCCTCATTCGTAGACCAATGGTGGCAAATACAGATTTAACCCGAACTTATACGCGGTATGTCTAGCTTTGGTTTGATACAGGAGGCATTGATTAATGAGACGCACTCCAGGACGGGAAAGTATGCTTGTCATTGCTCGGCACCTGGAGTGGCCCTGGCTGGGTGTCTGGAAAGTCTACACTGCTTCAGGTACAGGTGCTTCCTGAAGTAGATCCGCACCAACCATGCTGAAATGTGACGCATCCAGGTTCTCATATCCATCCAGTCGATGATTCTCTGCGAAGAACCTTACTTGAATGAGCCGGGATGGGCAAGCAGTGCCGGTACGGCTGCATCTCAAGCTTGTGAGTCTTCATTACTGCCTGAGGACGTGCCCTGTGCTGATGTAGCCCAGATTCTGCGAATGTCCGACGGATGGTCGTCAAGACGGCAGTAAGTGCTGGTTCTAACCCTATCCTGAGCCAGTGCTAATCAATTCTTCGTGATCAGATGCTCGGCAATTTGAAAACCCCCCCGGAACCCTTCGCGGACATCATCAGGACGCATTTCCGGTTGAAGGCCAACCCCATCTCGCAGCAGCTGGACGAGTGGCTCGCGCAAGACGACGGGCGCGCTATCGCTGCTGACGGTGCTTCGTACAACACGACCAAGGCAACAGGGGCAGCGGCAGGCACGAGCGACAACGGCCTGCGGTCGGACGTTGAGGAGATGAAGCGGATGCTCACCCAGCTTCAGAACGAGGGTGCCTCTGGTAGTGGCAGCACCTCCTGAGACATGAGAGGACTTCTTGGAAGGTGCTTGCATGGATGTAATACGTTATAGCTCGGAAGGTAATCATTATTGCACATATAGTAGTAGTACAAGCCGCATGCAAGCTGGGAATCCTGTATTGTCCTAAGGGTAGAATCTATAGGGGAATTGCGTACAAGTTTCATTGTACAAGGGCTGGACTGGTAGCCTGTGAAACGGGTCATCAGCCTCCTGTCCTTAGAAGAGATCGGCGGACATTACCGCTTTAATGATTTCGTATATTCTACGCTGGCATGCAAAGAGTATCGCGGCCGTTAGGACACTCTGGATGAGTTTGCTGCCGACTCCTCGGTACAGGCCTTCTACGCCTTCTTCGTGGAGGATGGTGAGGATCCCATCGAGTGTTGACTTGTATCTGAGGGCTCTTGCGTGACCAGCCTGCAGTCTGCTCTTCACGACACTGGAGCGCCGGGATCAGAAGTGTGTGACAATACCGCCTCCAATGCCGCACGTACATGTAAGGATACGTTGAAGATGTTGCAATCAGCTTCGATAGTGCACCAAGGAAGAAGAAATCCCAATCCGACAAGACCGCGACGGCACTTGCAGCCCCGCTCGCGCGGAGCTTAGCGGTCCTCGTACGGATCAAAAAATTCTTGAGCTGCTCAAATACGGTGTACTGTAGGACTGGGTTGATGACCAGCACCAGGGCCGGGCCAATACCGCGCCAGAACGCTTGCACGCCGTCCTTACGGAGGATGTGCTGCACCGTCTCGATGATGCTGAGTTTCTTGGGGGCTGCAGACCCGGCGGTGGAATCTACAGTGCGGGTTGCTTGGGTGGTTTGGACGACCCAGATGGGGTTGCTGATGATGGTGGTAGCGGATCCTTGGGAAACGTGTTAGGGGAGGGTGGCATAGAGAAGGCCTGTGGTGCTCACCAGCTATGACGCCTGCGAGCATGGACTCCAAGGTGCTAAGCGCCTTACTCCCTTCTCTTGAGGACAAGATGATACCCCGAGATCGCTCATAGAAGTAGTAATATGCACTACAGGGACATCTATGAGCCGTTCACGAGGACAGTGGAGGAGCTTACCCATTAGTGACTGCTATGCCTAAAAGGCTGGAGTTGAGGCCACTGTACAGACCAAGGACTCCTTCCCGTTTGATGATGTCTAGTACTGCTTGATATGTTGTCTGTAGTTACAGATATCGTTTCGACATGACGGTCTGGTAGGGACACGCGCAGCATACAGACCTTATGTTCGTGCTTGGTCTCTACTGCAGCTCGCGTAGACAGGAAGATTAGAGGGCTATATACCCAAGATCAGTTGAGTCTATAACATACGTTCGAAAAGAGACTTGCTATGTAGCGGTCATGGCAGCTATACCGCCGGCTGCACCAGCCATGGAATGAATCAGTGAATCGGACATGATGGGTGGCTATCAGGGCCCTAGTGTGCACAATGGTCTTTCTCAGTGAGCAGGGCCTTCTATGTATCTGCGAACAACCGGTATGGGAGCAACAGTGAGGCAGGTAGTGTGCAATCACATGCCGGGGAGGAAGGCCTTCCGATTGCTTGACGCGTGACGTCGACGTCACGCCTAGAGTAATGTCTGGTAATTAGCTTTCACCTTAAGGCGCGGTAAAATGACCAGTCACAGGCGCCGCCGCACCCAGTATTTGTAGGTCGGATAAAGTACTTACTTACGTACGCAGAGACCCTCACAGCCCGCTATTGCAATGCCATCGCGATACCATCAGGTCGCAAAAAGAATTTTATCAGTCCTTCGGGCGAAGAGGAACGCAAAATTGTGCGTCCTTCGGGCCGGGATCGAACCAGCGACAGCCAGATGCGCAGTCACGTGATTTCCATTACAGTCTGACGCTCTTCCAACTGAGCTACCGAAGGCCACATATTTAATTTTTAATTCTTATACTCATTATTTTGGGCTGCCCAAGAAATATATATTAAATTGTATCTCAATTTTTAAATCACTTATGCTATTAATTTAATTTAATTTAATCCTCTATTAAAAAGTAGTAAACATAAAACATAATATAAAATAAGTGTTTTACTAATTAAAATGCATTTCAATATATATCCCCTTCAACCGGTACCAATGCCTCCACAGTTACGCCTGAATGCCGTCGCGTTCATCTCCCCGCAGAGTCATCCGATCTTGATACGTGCATTCTCGCAGTCGAAAGACGAACAGCTGAAATATCACTACTTGGCACACACGAGTCTGGACGTATTCGAGGAACGCGGTTAGCAACATCAGTGGAAGGCAGACCAACGGAATCTTTCCCTGATCTCAGCATATATCTGCAGTGAATTCTGGTGCGAAGGCGACGGAGAGCTACCTCGGTCTTCTGTTCTCTATGGAAGGCGCAGCCGTGTACGGATACATCACCCCAGTGAAAGTGAAGATCGTGCTGGCCCTTGCGCTCTCAGATGCTGTAGTTCGAGATGCAGATATTACGACTGTGAGTTTGCCTGCTATTATTCTCCGAGCTTGAAGTTGACATGAGTGGCAGATATTCCGTGCACTTCACATGGCGTACTACCAGTCAGTAGCGAACCCCTTCCTTAAGCTGCATACCGCTCTCGATACTTCCGGCGATCATACTTCCTTGATGTTGGCAGGCAGTCCCAAGTGGAAGGGTTTTCGTCGTCGAGTGGACGAAATTGGCAGAGCTGCCGGCGCTCCAATATAGTAGGTGTGTTTGGTAATAAAGTCGCTTTGCTGAGAGAATAACCGCGGATTACATCTCCTTACTGATGCTCGGGAGTGAAACTGCTGTCGCTGGAAGCTCCGCTGCACACCCTTTATTGACTCATTGGCTTCGAGACCACAGCTCTTGGGACAGATACGGGGTGGAGATGGAAATTGCCCTTTATTGACTCATCCGCCTCCAGACCACTGCTTTTGAGACAGCCACGGGGCAGACACTCAGTGCTATTCCTGTGGTAATACCGGGGGTTATTTAAGGTGTCATCTAACGAGTCTACATGTTATACACCTATCATTGCCTCTCCAAGACTATGCAATTGCTCCAGCGTCTCCTGTGCCATCACTCTCACAACAGCGTCCTCATCCGTGGACGATATATACCGCAGTGTATTCCTTGTGCGTCCAACCAGAGCGCCTGGGAAGACATTCGCATTACTGCCGTCTTCGTATATCCGCTCCGTAGAAGCTTTCAGGAGTAAAGACAGGAAGTGCAAGGCGGCTCTCCGGAAAGGCGGCAGCTTACTCTGCTTGCTGGTAGGCTTCGAATCCATCGTCTCTGTCAGTGCCTTGTCTTCGCCGTTTTCATCGACTGATCCTAGGGCCCGTGCGACGACCGGCTTACTTTCCAATTGCAGGAGATCGACTATCGCTGATGATAGGTCCTCCACATATGGTATCAGGGCCAGTGCGCTTGTCCTGATGCATGTCGCAAGCAGGGATAATGCGGATGTCCGGATTGCGGCAGGCAAGGAAGTGCTCCTGACCGTTCCAAACAGCGGCGGTACAAGTAAGTTTGCTGATCTCGGCTCGTCAACATCCGGGCATATAAGAAGTGAGAGGTGAACGTACCATGACCTGGTAGAGCATCGCCACACCTATGTATGACTTGACTTAATGCTTCACCAACCCTGGTCCGAACATCGACGTCATGTTGTGTGAGGTTGCCAGCTGCAACGCCATCCAACCCTTGCGTGTATATCTTGAGGAGCCCTCGAAGTACGTCCTTGCCAAACCCATCTACCATCGCCGACAGACCTTGGACACCATTTAAGAAGATGTACGAATCCTCATCCTTCAACGCCTGCAGGAAGATATCGAGAATGGCCGGTATCAAGGCTTTATCCACGGCATGCTCAGAGGGACGGCCATCTTTGCCGTAGCGGGGAGAGACCAACTGGCGCAATAACAGCAGGCCGTGGGCTCGCACGGGTAGTATTGGGTCCTGCAGCAATTTGAGCGCTTTCTGGTACGTCACCTGCGGGTCCTCCTCGTCGCTCAGCACTGTGCGCTTCTTCGAACGCGCATCATTAGAAGTAGAAGCTAATCGCGCTGTCATGATTAAACGGGCCTCACCCGCTAGGCGGCGGATACCCTCCGATTCATTATTCACCAATCCCTCCAGGAACGAGAAGATGTCATTGAGTATCGGCGCAGTCTTAGCCGAGAGGTCCTCATTGCCTGGCAAAGTTTCAGAGCTTAGATTATGGAGTCTTTAACAGAGACAAACCTTCAAGTAGAGACAGAAGAAGGTTCAGCGCTGTCACGGTCATTTCATCACCTGCTGACGGCCCAAGAGATTCATCGACTTCTGCAGTATCCACATCTTCGTCATCGGATACAATGCGCAAGTCTTCTAGGGTGAGACCAGAACTCCGTTGCGGTGACGACTTCTTCGTTTTTCGCGTCGGCTCAGTCGATGCAGCCTCCAGAGCGTGCTTCACAAAGGAGAGTGCCTGCTGGGGGTCGCCGAGGATACGGCTAGATGTACTGGACGTCATCTGGGATTGCATGCGATTGATGAGCTGTAGATACAGCAATGTGCTACTTAGGATGTCAGCGTATTATTATGTCCTATCATGCGCCGCACCTACCGTAATGGATCCTCGTCTGAAATCTTTGATACCCGATAAGTATCCAAAAGACGGATGAATAAATCGGAAGTAATATCAGGACGGTCGATCGATTCCATAAAATTTACAAAAACAGCGGGATCTGGACGAAGACCGAACATATTCATATCTAGGCTGGCGTCCTCGCTCTCCCTGAGTGTCTTCAAATCTTCGGGAGTCAGTAGCGCGAGTGATGACGTCTCCTTCGGCCTGGCAACGAACTTGTCAGCACAATTCAGGCAGCGGCCGATCCTACGAGTACCTCTCAGTCCTTGTAATCTCTCCTGCGATATCCACATTCCAGTAACCACCTTCATCACAAACAATGGACCACACAGTATCGCGCGCTTCCGCGACTGCAACAACACGGCCCCAGGTTCTCAAGAGATCGCGAACAGCCTCTTTCTGTCCAGGATCCGCAGTCCTTCTGCCCTCCAGGCACTCCAGGATGGCATACAGTGAGGGAACAAGAGGCGATAGAAGCTTGATCAGGACGACTGGAGAGGGATCCATATTCGACATGATCTTCACAAGAAAAGATAGAGCACGCTCGGGAGTAAGCACCTGAGATATATCAGAGAGTTCTGCGACAGCAGATTCCGAAGGAGCCTGGGTTGGCTCCATGAATGGCCTGTGAAGAGTCGATAACAGCGTAGTGGCAACTATAAATTGACCAGGTGGAGCATCTTGCTCTAATACTTGAGAAAGAAAGAAAGCTGACGCTCGGATGTACGGGGGCGGTGCAGGCGGCTCCTGTACAAATATGTCGACGATCTGGGCACCTATATTCAAGAAGTATTCCTAGTTGATCTTCGTGACAGCTCAATTACCTCATGTCGTTATTCTTACCTCTGGTTTTGTCTTTGCCGGAACAGAGCGTAGGATACGGGAGATAAGCTCCAGTTTATCGAGAGGCGTGCTCTCACCAGATAGTTCATCTTCTGTGAACAATGCCATAAAGAGAGCTCTGACCCCATCTCGTCGGAGGAGTTGTCGACTTAGCAAAGATCCACAGACTTTAGTGGCATGCCGTGGAGGGGGAGGATGGACGGCGAGCATAGATCCAAGACCTTCGATAGTACGGGACGGCGGCATCCTGGTTTGCAGTCCATAGAAACCCGTCAGAATGATCTCTGAAATGATTATTGACGCCTGTGACGTACAGGGAAAGCAAGCGCATAATGTATGGTCTCAGATGATCAACCGTAGGGGTCGACTCCGAAGAGAGCGACTTGGGTAACCAACCAAGTGTCAAGGAAACCACCAAGAGATCGGACATATGTCTCTCCACAATCGTCGCGCATACGAGTGTCGGAGATAAAGAACCATGCACACCGTTCGGGAAGAGCAGCGACAAGACCTTCGTGACTAAGGACGACAGCATTGCATAGTCTTGCGGGGTGTTCGTGAGGTCAATAATAGTCGCCCCAGTACGAGCAGGTTGAGTCTGCCATGCTAATGAAACACGGGAAAGAAGAGGAGCAATACCCCATTTGAAGATGATGGATACCAATGTGCGTATGTGAGCCAGATCCCTCGATCCAATGGCCGCAGGTGAAGATCCTGCCTGTTGTCTGTTCCCCTGTGCGGCCTGTCGTTCCTCTTCAAGAAGAATCGTCTCAATACGGGAGACCACAGTCAAAGCCTCTTCAGCTATTTTCAGCTGCACATCTTCCACGGGGGCGTAGTCCAAGGTGCTAATCGCGCCTTCATCGCCTAAGGTAGCATAATACCGAGTAAGTCGTTTGAGAAGGGTCTCTCGAAGATTCGTAGGCTTTTTATTTGGTTGAGATTGGATCAGAAGTGTGCCTGACTGCAGCGTAGACGAAAAATCATCCGACATGTGCGAATTAGAGGAAGGATAAGTCCTAGCCGCGAGCGAGTGAAGCAAGTGCTAATTGAGTTACCTAACAATTAATAGGTCAAGAAAATTATGGCCGCATGGCGAAATGGCATCGCGTCTGACTACGATAAATCGTTCATCAGGAGATTGCAGGTTCGACCCCTGCTGTGGTCATTTTTGAACTCTCCATACTGATTTTATCCTATACCTTGTTTGTGGAAGGTCTGCATGATGCTCCACCCAGCCTTGACCATTTCAGGACACGGTAAGCGCTCTCTTACTATCTGTGTCAGCCCATGGGCCCTCCGACATATAGAATTAATTTTGTACATCCTGAGCAAAAGTCGCTGCCACTACTAACGGGAAGACTAGTGTCGCATCTGCAAAAACCTGGACAATGTGAGTGCAGGAGGGGATAGAGAACAGCGCTAAGGTCATCCTC